TTTTTTCAGATTATTATGCGTATATTTTCTATTTGACTTATTGTACTGAAAATGTAGCGGAAGTATTTTTGCCATTTGCAAATATAAATTTTCACTTTAGTAAGCATTCTAGTAGGTAATGAAAATGGCATTTTTTTTCTTATGTAGTTTCTTCTAAAATGCAAATTCCCTTCTACATCTCTTGAGGTTTGCCTGTTTCCCTCTATGCCTCATGCCCACACCTTGGCACCATTGCACATGTGTGCACATAATCCCCTGTTTTAGGTCCCTTTGTTAATTTCTAAGAACCCTTTTTCTGATTAACATTTTTGAGTCTTACTATCTAGATCAAGGCTGAGTATAGTATCTATCCTTTCCCCCTTTCTCTTGATGTTCTTTAGATAATTAGCCCTGGGCCTAGTTCCTTTGAAGATTAGGGAGGAGGAGCTTTTGTATTGTTCTTCAGTAGCAACAAGACAGAAGTTTCATTTCCTGGTGAGGGGATTGGAGAGCTCAGGTATGGCAGAGAGAAAAAGGAATTTTCTTAGAACTTATTTGTGTGTTACTACAGCCACAGAAATGAGGTCAAAGGAGCCATTTAGTGGTGCATTGCACCACTTTTCCTTGAACCTAAGATGTCACAATAGGGAAGGAGAAGTGATGTTTCTAGGTGTCTCTGTGGTACAAGATCTAATTCTGTTCTAGATCTAATTAGATTTTATAAAGGATGATGCTAAATATGGACAAATGGAAAATTGTTTTCTGGTTTTTTTGGGTGGGGCATGTTGTTAATGGGAATTGAACTTAGGGCCTCAAGTATGCTAGGCAAGTGCTCTACCATTGAGCATATCCCCATCTGTTTTTAGTTTGAGACAGGTTTTGCAAAGTTGTCTCTGCTAGCTTCAAACTTGCCATTGTTCTGCCTCAGCCACTTGAGTACCTGTGATTTGGGTCGTGCATCAGTACTCCCAGCTTCTATTCGGTTTTGAAATCCTAGGTCGTGTCCCCTCTCAACCCCTACCCCAGTGCTGGGGATTGAACATAAGGCCTTATGCATGCTAGGCAAGCCACATCCCCAGCCCTTGAAATACTTTTATATGAATACAGTCTAAAATTTCACTTCAAACAAAAATATGTCACATTTGTGATGACCTTATTTTGTTTAATCCCAGAAAACCATTTATTTAACAATTTGGGTTTATGTATGTGCAGTGTAAAGTATCAGTCCAGGCAATGATGTTTCCTCAAAGCTTTTTGAATGTAGGCTGTATTCAGCAGAGTGTATATGCAAGAAGACGCAAACAAATAACGAAGTGGGCAAGCATTACTTGTAGTCAATGGAAAGGTAGGGCAGTGGGACCAGTATTTGAAGTCCTGTTTGATCCTGTATTAGGACTTTCTTAACCCTCATAATAACCTGTGAAGAAACTGAGGAGTGAAATAATTTATCAGAGTCACACATTTAAGTGGAGGGACAGGGAAGGGCTTCAATTTGTGTATCTGCTTACAGAAATCTGTAGCTCCTGTGCATTCCAGGCTTTAACTGTATGTTAGTCTTTCTTTCAACAATAAGAACAACTGTAGTCTCTCTTGGTTCTACCTAACTCGTATTTCTCGACTGTACATAGGAGTGGCAAATTGCATCATTATCTTGTGTAGTTTAAAATGCTGTACTTATGGTCATCAGATTTGAACAGAGAAATGTGTCATGGATAAACATAGTAAAGGAAAAGTTAGGTTTTGTTTTGCTTTGTTTTTCTTTTTCAGGCCCCCCCCCCCATTAGAATATATTTGTTGAGGTAACTAATTTCATTAAACATTTAATGACAGTAATGTAGGTTTGAGGTCATAAAAGAGGAAAACTGTATAGGAATGTGTGACCCAACAGATACGTAAGCATTTTGGTATTTGAAAAGTCAGAATTTATTTATGTAGGCTAGGAGATTAGTAAGAGATTACAAACATCTAGCATAGTATATATGAATCGATGTTCTTAAATAAGAAGTAGTTTTAGATTGCTTGACTTTTTTTTTTTCTACTTTGTAACAAATGGCAAAAATGTTTCCAATTAGAGAAGCAGTGCCTGGATTAACTGTAGATTGAATAGTAATTAACTAATTGTGTTAAATTTACCTTTAAAGAGAGATGTTTTTAATGATTTAGGAAAGCTAGTAAGTTCATTTATATTTAAAGATTGTGACACATATCAGAGTTGGCAGCTGGGAGAATGTGCAGATTGGGTAACCTTAAATGTTGTAAGCATGGAATGTGTTCATGTTAATGACTAAATCTTAAATTGGACATGTTTTCATGTAAAATTTAAATGACTATTTTGATGTTCTTGAAAGTCAAAACAGTCTGTTAGCAGTGCAAATGTTTTAACAGTATAGAAGAATAATCAAGTGAGAGCAAGGATGGTGTCCTCACGTTTGTTCTTTCTTGTAATGAATTGAGAACTCCTCCTGTTAGTGTTGAGTTTTCCTAGTTACTACTTTGTGGTTTTTCTTTCTTTCTTTTTTTCCTTCAAGAGCTACTTTTTCTTAAAAGCAGATGAAATCACTACAAAATATCACCTATCTCATCATTCTGTGTAGCAGGAATCTCCTTTTTTAAAAGAATATCACAGCCAGGTATGGCATACACCTGTAATTCTAGTTACTTGGGAGCCTGAGACTGGAGGATGACAAGTTTGAAGCCCTCCTGGGTCATAGTTAACTGGTATTCATGTATTTGTTCAGAGTAGAAGCCCTTGATGCCAAGTGCTTTAAGCATGCTATTTAATCTTGGTTTGCTAATGATAGGTATGAGATGACCTTGAAATACAGGATCATTAATTGTGATTTATCTTTTAAAGTTGGAAAGGCAACCATTATCCTTTCTTTTTAATTGAAGTTTATATAGTATTGCCTTGTCATTGTTTGAATATATTTGAAATGAAAAATGACAGTGGTCATAATTTAACTGTTATATGTATTTAAAATATGAAAATTTTGCTGTCTTTGTTTATGATAAACACTAAATTTAAGCTAAGTTATAAGGTATGCTGTTTGGAAATATGGAAGATACAAGAATGAAGCCACATAACAAGTTTTTGCTTGTATTTTCTACTGATGAAGACTTTCAGACAAGTTATTTCCATGGGTAGGTGATGTCACTCTGCATGGATATATACACTTAAACCTTTTTGCATGATTATACATGTAGGAGTGGTACAATTTTGACTTGACTGTTGACCTGGTTCCTCAATTTAGGGGTGGAGGTGGGGAATGTGAGGACAAGAAGTTCAGAATGGTAATAGTGATAAATTTAAAATAAATCACTAAATAATTTATTGCAAATTCCTGAAACATCCACAAAGCCCACTTAAATCGAATGTATGGTCAAATAGTCAATATTGTACTTGGCCCTCATATCTTTTGCACCTAAGTATTTGGACATCACACAGTATCTTGATTCCATAATAATCATTTTGAACTCTGACGAAAATTCCATGAATCATGAAACTCTTTTCTTTCTCAGAAAAGAAAAATCTCAAACAACAACAAAAAAACAACAGTTTTTTTTTTTTTTTTTCTATTTGAACTAAAATCCATTACTAGCTGATACCAAGACCACACGGTCTTTGATGAACTTAATTGACCCTATTATGGGAACTGGAAATTATTTTTGAGTAGCCAACTAAAATTGCCATGATCGTCAGAATTTCATTTTGTGACATGTCTGTTCTTTATACAGTGGCACTTAACAATTCATTTGCTTTTATGTTTGGTCACCTTTTGTTTTAAAGATGTTGCTACATAAACCTATGGTTCATTAGGTGCTCAGTTGTAAGTAATAAATACCCCAGGTGTGTTCTGTGTTATTGTTCAATGACAGTTTACACAATGGATGTATGTATTAAAATAATAATTCTTCATTGTTTATATTTTCATTGGCATATACATTTCTTAGACAAAATTTCATAAAGTAGGAGTGTTATTATTTTTTGGATGATATTAGAAAACCAGAAATAAATGATGGTTTGCTTGCATTTGATAAATAGCTGTTGAGAAGGAAACAGCATTCCTTTATTTTATCTTTATTCTAAAATGGGGGTAGTAGAGGATGTCTTGAACGAAAACTATTTTTGCTTTCGCTCTCATGCTAGGAAAAGGGTAGCATTAGCATTTTAAAGCATGTATGTATTTTACACGCATGAATATTGAGATATATTAGCATGAATTGCTGCAGTGTAATTACTTTGAAATTCAACTGTTTTTTTTTTCCCAACTAGTTAAGGTGATTTGGGGATTGGAGAGATCTCTTATTTTTCCAGTAAGAACTTTTATGTCTCTCTCTAAAATCATTCATAAAATTGCATATCATTTACTTGGAGTATGAGCTGGTTGTCTGTCTCAGGAACTATACATACATACACATATAATCTATATAATTTTTTTCTGTGGGTATTGCTGTTTTGTAGAATGTTGTAGAGTATATAACATTACTATAAAAGGGTTTTACTAGATAAATAAGTAGAGCTCTAGTGTTAACTTTATTTCTTTAGCAAGTAGGAAAATATAAATTTGATTTTCTTCTCTGAATCTATTAGTGTCTTTTAGTTATAAGGAGAACTAGATTCATTTTCTTAAAATAATAAATTGGATTTTAATAGTTTACACCAGATTTTTCCTTTAAAAAGTCACTTTCCCTTTCTTTGTGGAGTCATCCCTTTTTTCTTAATCTGTTGCTCTTTAGGAGTCTGACAGGAATTCAGTGTAACATTGTTCAGTATAGTCTTGTCTTTTGTTCTTCATAATAACACTCCTTTTCCTCCTTCCAAAATGTGTTCCTCATCTTTGTAAACTTGGATTATCTTTTTCACTTTCACATCATGACAAAATTAGATGTGTAAAGTTCAGCTTTTCTAGTGAGATAATAATACGGTAAAGGTAATAACATTTAGAAGATTCTTGTTTAGTTTCAGAAGTATTTTTCACCCCACAAGTTAGATACAAGTATACATTTTCTTTCCTCCCTAGATGGACCTCCAGTTGTAGCTCATTATGATATGTCTGACACCAGCTCTGACCCAGAAGTGGTAAATGTGGACAATTTATTGGCGGCTGCAGTAGTTCAAGAGCACGCTAATTCTGTAGGCGGCCAGGACACAGGAGCTACCTGGAGAACCAGCGGGCTGCATGCCAAGGCAGGTTGGTCTCTCCCTTCTCCCTTCTCTAATGATGTAATCTGCATGTGTCCTGGTAGCTGTATCTCCTGGTGGTGGACCCTGCTGAGGAGAGCAGGCCATACCAGAGCCATCTAACATCAAATGGTTGTGACTAATAAGGCTGCCACTGATAACTGAAAAAATTGGGTAGCATATCATCTTTTTTAATCAGAAGGAAGCAAAAATAAGAATATATAAGACGTTAATTGTAGGCATCAGTAGATTTCAGTAGGCGTATTTCTTGAGTTAAAAATGCCCAACATGTGTAAAAACAATCCAGATACTCTTGCACTCTTTGGTTAGTTCTTTTTTCGTCACTTAACTCTGAATTGTAACCTGTAACAGGGAGCTTTTCATCTGCAATGCTGTCACTGTTTCTTCTGTTTGATGGGGAATGTCTCTGTTAGTTTCTTTTCAGTAAGTTCTCTTTGTCTCTTCTAACCCTATCTTTCGATTTCTGCTTCTGTTATTTCAGGGGAAAAAACTCTTCTCCTTGTCCTTATCTCTTGCATTATTTATCTTGGTTCTGTGATTATTCTTAAGAGAATTTATTCACTAAAAAGCCCACCACTATTTCCTTTGGAAAATTCTCACAGTGTCTCCATGTTTCCTTCAATGTCATCCTTAAACATTCTTTCTAACTTAAACCTTAAAAAAAAAAAAAAAAACTTTAGTTAAAGATAAAGGGAAGAGGGAATAAGAAAACAGACTGCTTATATAGTGTGTATTTTCTTCAGTCCTTTTGAAGGATTATGTGCATTGACTTAAGTACCAAGTCTCTTAGTTTAATCATTGTTGAAAGTATTATTTTTATGAAAAATGAATTTTATTACCCAAAAATGAGTAATAGTTTAGAATGTACTATAGTATAGCAGTGTGCCTTTGGTCATTGTCCTGAATTCTTCCTCTTATAATCTTTGTTGACCTTTTGATTAATTTATTGAGGCTGATTTTGAACCTGTGCCTAGATTTAATTTTGGCTTTGTTTTGATTGCTAACTTGCTCATTGATTTTGGATCAGTCATTTCTCCTCTTGACTTTGGCTTTTATAAATAATTTTTTTTTGGTCCAAGCAGGGTCTTTTTAAAGGATTTACTAATACAATGAATATGTGTAAGTATTTTGAAAAGTATTCAATGATGATAATACTTTATATCAAAGGACAGTAGTTTAATCACATTTTGTACAATATAGGTTTGTAAACTATGTAATTTGTTCTGTATACTAGATGGTTTATCTTTTTTTAATCCATTGATAATCCAATCAATCATTCTACTTCAGTTTTATTCCCCATTCCCTTAGTGTGTCACTTAATATGGACCATGTTATAGTAAAGTTCTTGTAGGAAAAAGAAAAAAATGAATGACTCTCAATATTTTGCTTTTCATGTAGAGAATTCTTCAATAGTAAGTAGAACCATATAGAATTACTAATTTAACTTTTTGATCTATTACAATCCTAGCAGTTTTATTTGTTTCAACCAAATAGTGAAGGTTTGAGGTCTTAAAACATCATTAAAGTTACCATTATCAGGGATAAGGATAGCATTTACATTTTCAGATTCAAATATAGTCCTTTAGTATCTATAAGAGATTGGTCTCTGAAAGTTCTGGGACCAAGGATGCTCAAGTTCCTTATATGAAATGGTACAATATTTACATATAACCTGTGCATATCATCTGTATACTTTCAATCATCTCTAGTTTACTTATAATACCTAATACAGTATTAGAACTTTGTAAATAGTTTTTATACTATATTGTGTAACCTGAAAACACTGTATGTGTTTAGTACAGTCACAACACCCCTGCCCCCAATATTTTTCATTTGCATTTGCTCGAATCTGTGGATGTGGAACCTGTGGATATGGAGGTCATACTGTAATTGTTAGCTTGTTTATTTAAAACATCTTACCCTGGTACTCACCATTTTGTGTCGTCCCTAACCCTAACCCTCCCCACCGTGGTGCTAGGGATTGAACCCAGGGCCTTGTGCATGGGAGGCAAGCACTTTGCCAACTGAGCTAAATCCCAAGCCCCCTACCATTGTTTTTAAGAACTTTAGCATGGCAAAAGTATGTGAGGAGGGAAGCACCAATGGTTTCATCTCTGCTCTTCCATTTTCCCCAGAGCCGTCCTAAATTTGACATTTAATGTTTGATGTTCCTATGTATTTCTTGGTGTATTTTTACTTCATGTGTTATGTAATTACAAGTGTGTTTTAAAACTTTGTAGTTCACACTGCAGGTAATCATTTGAAACTTTCATTTAGTTCATCATTTTGTGAACTTTGAGCTTGTTTTATGTGGTCTAGTTCATTGAGTTTTCCCTGCTATTTAGTATTCCACTATATGAATATATTCCAATTTACATATTCTCGTTGGATGTTTGGGAGCTGTTTTAAATGATGTTGTTAACATTTCTTGTATGTGTCTTGATATGTGTGTGTGATAATTTTTCATAGCATATAATAGAGAGCACATGTCTGTATTGGGCCATTAATTGTGTGGAGGTTTTTGTTTAGGATATAGAATGTAGTCACCATTGTTTAGTAGCTCCCAGTGATCTTTTCTAATGAAGCCATTTGCTCTTTCAAATAAATTAAAATTTGATGATGTAGGAATGTGAATAATAAATAAAACAATATTGTCTTTATTTTATAGAGGCAATCCATCTTACGAAGCTGAGTATATTTACATGGTCACAACAAAATAGTTAAGAGTTTATGCTTGTCAGTTTATAATTTCAAGATTTGGCCTATTAAGATTTGAATTTAAGATAAATATTCTTTTTTTTTTTTTTTTTTGGTCGTGCTGGGGATTAATAAAACCCAGTACTTGCCCTGTGTGAGGCAAGTACTCTACCAACTGAGCTATATCCCAAGCCTTAAGATAAATATTCTAATGGTTAGTTGGATCCTCTGTGTTCCCTTCATAGTGAAGTAGAATCCTACTGACTGAACAGACTAACTAAGGGTTCATTTCAATCAGTAGTAGCATCTCAGAGCAGTTCTACAGCCTTTAGGGTCATGTAAGCAGTAATTGGAGATAGAATAACTTGCTGCTTTTTCAAAGCAATTGGATGAAGTTCTTACATCCAAAATAGATGTTGCTATTTAATAGTTTTAATTTTAACCTAAAAGTTGAATAGCAAGCAGATTTAAAAAAAATAAGTTGAAATCAGGGAAGCCTCTGGTCAACAAAAGACTTAAAATTTCAATTTCAACTCTTGCCATGTGTTTACTTTTTCTTTACTTGATGCTAGAATTGTATAGGGTGGTTTTCAACAAGCAGCCACTTAGAAACTGTGTGACCTTACTTAGGTAAACTGTGAAAAGCCTTAGTTTTCCTTGTGTGCAAAAATTGGGATAAAAGTAGTATCTATTCTAACTGCTGGGCGCAGTGGCACACACCTGTAGCCCCAGCAGCTTGGGAGGCTGAGATAGGAGTTCAAAGCCAGCTTCAGCAAAAGCAAGGTGCTAAGCAATTCAGCAAGAACCTGTCTCTAAATAAAATGTAAAATAGGGTTGGGGATGTTTCCCAGTGAGTTTTAATCCCCAGTACCTAATAACCAACAACAACAAAACCAACAACTAGTATCTATTCCAAAAGATTATTGTTGCTGTTAAGTGAAATAATATAACAGTGTGCTTAGCATGGGACCTAGCACACAGTAGCATTTAAAGCCCTCGGGAAAGCATTAGGTTAATAAATACTGTGCTGAAGTAGACTGAATAAGAAAGGGATTGATGGGTCAGTCAGTGCATTTATAGTTCACTGTCCTTCCCTGGCATGAGTTGTTCCTGCTACAATGTTTTCTCAACTTTGCTTGAGCCTAGACATTATCCAGTGTTCTAATAAAATTCAGAATCCTTCACTTCTCCCTGAAGATTTTATTAATAGATATGAAATGGAGTCTGGGAATCTGTTTAATAATAACTCCCTGGTAATTCTTATGTCTAGCATATTTAATGAATGGACCTGCATAGCTGAAAAATGGCTTTATTTTAATTGTTAGTAATTACCCACTATAAACGTAATTATAGTTGGAATTACAAAAAGAAGTCTGAGTTATACTCTTGGTAAGAAAGATCTGTAGTTGTGATGATAAACAGAACTTGTTGGTTTTGTCCTGGGAAATGATAAATTCTAAACATCTCTATTTTTCCATCATGCCTTTCTGGTCAAAGTTAGGTAGGCTGTGAACATTTTATCTTATCCTTAAAATAGGGATAGTAATCTTGATCTTTGCATAGTGGCAGAGAAACAAACCTTGATTTTCCTGTCCCTAATGTAGGATTTTCTTTTTTAATAATCTGACCAGAATGGCCCTGTTTCTTGATAGCAGATCAGAGAAGTATGAGTCTTGTGAAGGAGGTGATGTGGTCAAGCCTCTTTTGATCATAAGTAATAAGTTTAGGTTCTCATCTCCCCTTAATGTTCTTGTTGAAAAAAGTAAGCACATAGTAATAATTCGCATGTTTTTAAGGCTAAAGTGATTTAAGGTAGTAACCTTGTTTTACCTAGCCTTCCCTTTGTCATCCAGTATGTAATACTTTGCTTTAATGAGATGCAAACAGGCAAAGGCCTAGTGCTTGTCCATTAGACTGAATAAGAAAGGGATTGATTAAAAGTAGCTGCATTATTTCTTTTGAAGACAAAAGAAACTGTTCACCAGTTCACCATGGTATTTTAGTTACTACTTTTTCTTTGCTGCTGCTGCTCTCTCTCTTTTTTTTTTTTAAGTCCTGTCTTAGTAACTCTTATTTATGTCTGTAGTGGGAGGACAAAAATTTAGAATTTTTTCACAGTGAATGAAATTCTCCCAAAGATCTACACAGGCAAAGACCTATAGGGAGACAGCCAGCTGCCACAATAGCTAAATATGCGTACTCTGCTTTATTTTCAGTTTAATATACGGTAATCATGTATTCATATTTTTTGCTACAGGGCTTGTTCTTGTCTTAGAACTGACAAAGATAGTA